CCTGATAACCAAATCCAGACAAAGACCTTAGAGGAAAAGAAAACTACAGGGCAGTATTCCTTATGAACATTGATGCAAAAATGTTCAATAAGATGTTAGCAAATTGAACCTAGTAAATACAAAAAGATTAATAAATTTTGTGCAAGTGTGTTTATCCTAGGAATGCAAGGTTGGTTTGGCAGTTGGGAACCATAGTATTTCACCATATCAACAGATCAAAAAAACAAAACGTGATTAGATCAATTTATGTAGAAAAGGCTAACAAAATTCAACTTCCCTTCATGATTAAAACAACAACAAAAACTCACAGCAAAGTAGAAATAGGAAATAGTAGGGAATTTCTTTAGCCTGAGAAAATCGACAGTTAATATCATCCTTGATGATGAAAGGCTGAATGCTTTCCCTATAAGACTGTGGATGACAAAAATATCCACTCTCTCCACTTTGATCCAACATTGTATTGAAAGTTCTAGCAATGCATTAAGGCAAGTAAAAGAAATGAAAGCCATGTAGTTTTAAAAAGAAGAAATAAAACTTCCTTTTTTCATAGGTGATGTGTCCATCTGTGTATAAGACCCCAAGTATCTATTAAAAAAAAAAAACACTAGAATAAGTGAGTTCACCAAGTTCACAAGACATAAAATCAATATATATAAATGAAGAGTTTTCCTGTATTCTAGTAATGAACAATTGAAAATTAAAATTCAAAAACACTGAGGCTGGTATACAAATCTTAATTGTTTTTCTTTATGCTTACAGTAAATTGAATTTTTAAAAGATATTATTTGCAGTAGCCTCAAAAACATGAAATTCTTAGGGATACATCAAACAAAATAAGTGTAAGATTTGTATGCATAGAATTCCTAATTATTATTGAAATTAAGGAAAATTTAAATGGAAAGAGATACCAATGTTCGTGGATCAAAAGACTCAGTATTGTTAAGCTGTCCATTCTTTCCAAATTGATCCATAGATTCAGCGGGGTCCCAATCAGAATCCCAGTAGGATCTTTGTAAAAACTTCTAAGTTGATTCTAAAATTTATATGGAAAAGCAAAGGACCTAGAATAATCAAAACAACTTTGAAAAAGAATAAAGTTGGAGGCCCCACACTGGTTTCAGGACTTAACTATAAAGTACAGAAATCAAGGCAATGTTGTATTGGTATAAGAACAGGTATATAGATCAAAGGAACATGATAAATAACCTAGAAATAGATCCAATCTAAATGGTCAGCTGATTTTTGACAAAAATGCCGACATAAAATTCAGCGGAGAGAAGAATAGCCTTTTCAATACATAGAGTTGTAACAATTGGACATCCAAATGCAAAACAAAACAAAAAGGTGAGCCTGAAGCCTACTCAAAAATTAACTGGGAAAGTAAGATCTTAGATGTATACATAAGAGGAATAATGATAAAGAACTAGAAGAATATTTTTGTGATCTTGGTGTAGGCAGTGTTTTCAGATGGAACACAAAAAGCGCAAACCATAAAAGAAAAATAAATTGCACTTTATCAAAATTAAAAACTTCCGCTCTTCAAGATACTCTTAAGAAAAATGACAAGTCACATGCTGGGAGAAAATATTTATAAAACATATATTTGAGAAAAAAAACTTTGTATCCACAACATATAAAGACCTCTTACAAGAAAATGACAACCTTATTAATAAAGGAACAAAAGATTTGAACAGATAAATCACCAAAGACAGTTGGCAAATAAGCACATGAGAAGTGTTCATCATTAGACATTAGTACAAATTAGAAATCACAATGAAAAGCCACCATAGACCTAACTAGAATGGCTAAAAAATATTTTTAATAATAGTAAAGTGCTGGTAAGGCTGCAAAGCAACTGGAATTTATACTTATTGGTGTGAATGAAAACTTTAGAAAAGTTTGGTAGTTTCTTGGAAAGTTAAACATTGACTTGCCATATGACTCGGCAGTTCTCCTATTTACCCACAAGATTACCCAAGTGTTCATAAGATCCCTGTTCATAATGCCAAAAATTGGAAGCAGCCCAGATGGCTGCATGCATCCATACAGTAGAATACTACTCAGCAATCAAAAGGAAAGAACTGGTACTTGAAGCAGTGTGGATGGATCGCGAAAGCAACATGCTAAGTGAAAGAGACCAGATACAAAAGACTATGCTATATGATTTCTGTTTCTGGAAAAGACAAAACTATAGGGACAGAAATCAGATCAGTGCTTGCCAAATTATGCCACTCCACTCCTCATAAATGCCTGTGGATCACTTGATAAAACCCAAACTTCTTAGTGTGACCGATTCAAGGCCCTAGATAATTTGACTTCAATCCAACCTCTGTACTTTCAACTCTTTGTACTGCTTCCCTGAGCAAGCGGAGACAGTTCTAACAGCATACCTTGTCATGCCTCTGCTAGTGGTATTTTCACATTCTGCAATGCCTTTCCTTCTCAGGAATTTTGCTCGATCCTTCAAAGCTCATCTTACATCTTACTATGAATTTGTAGTGTTTTTGATCCTTCAGTCTCCTCCTTCCTCCCTGCCTTTGCAGTGTATGTATTTCTGCCACAGCACTTATTCATTCTTTTGTGTTAGAATTGGTTATTTCCATATTTACAATCCATTCTCAAGAGCAGAAATCTTACCTGTATTCCTGACAGGACAATAAAAGGGCTATAGGGCCAGGTGCAGTGGTGTATGCCTGTAATCCCAGCATTTGGGGAAGCCAAGGCGGGAGAATTGCCTGAACCCAGTAGTTTGAGACCAGCCTGGGCAACAAAGTGAGACTCCCAAAGTGAGAGCCAAGCATGGTAGCACATACCTATAGCTATAACTGCTCAGGAAGCTGAGGTGGGAGGATTTGCTTGAGCCCGGAAGGTCAAGGCTGCAGGGAGCCATGATCTCGCCACTGCACTCCAGGTTGGGAGACAGAGCCAGACCCTGTCTCAAAAAAAAGTCCGTGAAATTCAGCTCCATACCCTTTCTTTCTCTTAAAACAAACAAACAACAACAAAAAACCCCACACACTGTGTTGTGTGATAATCATGCTACACAAGAGTATATAAAGTATATATGAAGAATTTAAACATAGCTTTTAAAAATTTACCCACTACTTAGCTTAAGAAATACAACATCACAAATATCTTTGAGCCTTCTGTGCATGCCTCTCAAATCATATGGCCTTCCCTAGTGGTAATCTTTGAGAGATTACAACTATCCAAAATTTTATATTAATGATTTCCTTTGTAGTTTCAGCACATATTTGTATGTCTGAATAATATTCTTTCGTTTTACCTGTTTTCAAAATTTTGTTTAAATGAAATCATATTGTATGTATTCTTCTCACTTGTTTTTTTCCCTTCAACATTATGTTTTGTATATAAACCCATGTTGTGTGAAGCTATAGTTCATTAGTTTCCAGTGTTCTATAGGATTTCATTGTACACGTGATTGATACTTTATTTACATGTTACCATTAATGAGCATTTGGGCTATTTACATTTGGGATCTATTGTGAACAGTGCTGCTGTGTACATGCTTGCAGATATCTCCTGGAGAACATGTGCAAAAGTATATAACTAGAAGTAGAATTGCTGGGTTGGAGGGTATACGTGTGTTTAGGTTTAACCTGTAATGCTCTAGTGTTGTCTAAAGTAGCAACACTGGTGTACACTCTGACATCTAAAGGGGTTTCTTGCTCCATTCCGTATCAGTGCTTGGCATTGTCAAAGTTAATTTTCACCAATCTAGTGGGTATGAAATGGTATCTCCTGGTTTTTTGTTTGTTTGTTTGTTTGTTTATTTTTGAGATGGAGTCTCGCTCTGTCGCCCAGGCTGGAGTGCAGTGGCTGGATCTCGGCTCACTGCAAGCTCGGCCTCCCGGGTTTACGCCATTCTCCTGCCTCAGCCTCCCGAGTAGCTGGGACTACAGGCGCCCGCCACCACGCCTGGCTAGTTTTTTTGTATTTTTTTTAGTAGAGACGGGGTTTCACCGTGTTAGCCAGGATGGTCTCGATCTCCTGACCTCGTGATCCGCCCGTCTCGGCCTCCCAAAGTGCTGGGATTACAGGCTTGAGCCACCACGCCCGGCCGGTATCTCCTGGTTTTAATTTTCATTTCCCTGATAATGTGGAATGCTCATCTTTTTATATGTTTATTGCCATTTATGTTTCATCTGGTACCTCTTTTTGCCTTTAGTGAGTCCAGTTGTGTCAACACCATCTAATCATTAGGTCTTGATTTCCCCACTGATCTGCCAGCTTTGTCATGAATTAAGTTTTCATATGTGTGCAAAAGAATAGATCACCCTCTGTTCTAAGCTTCTGGTCTGTTTGTCCATTTTGGGGCAATACCATACCATATTTATAAGTCTTGATATCTCTACACCCTTTTTTCCCCTTCCTATACCTTGAACTTGAGCTTATCAGTGACACCCGTTGGTGCCCTTTTTTTTTTTTTTTTTAATTTTTATTTTTTTTTAGTTCCTGTAGAGGTATGGTCTGATTACTGGGCCAGCTTTCTTTTTTTTTTTTTTTTAATTTACAAATTGTAAAGTTCAGTCACTTACCCACTTATCCCCTCTTCAAAAACAAAACAAAACATTTTATTTGACATTTACAGTATTTTTAGCCTTTTGACATATCCTGCACATGTATCATTATTCTGAAATAAAGATCAAAGTAAAATAGATACTTAAATACTATTTTTTATTCTTTTCCTTAATCCCATTCTTAAAGACTAGAGCCCAAAAGTCTGACAATTTAGAATACATATTTGTTTGTGTGTGTGTTTCTAGGCAACCAAAAAGGTAAATTTGATTTTCCTAAGGCTTGAAAATCTAGCATAATACCACAGTTCTCATTACCAGGCCTGATCATCCTTCAGCCACTGTAACATTGCTCATGGTTCAGTATTCCTTATTGCTCAGCACTTTCCTTTACTGCTGGAGTAGAGGAGTTTCTCTGTCTCGCGGTAAACTGGTTTTCGTATTTGTCGATTTTCCTTTCAGCCTCTGCCTGTGAGTTTCTGGATATTGTAGAGCTGCTGCTCCAGTCTGGTGCTGACCCCACTCTCCGAGACCAGGATGGCTGCCTGCCGGAGGAGGTGACAGGCTGCAAAACAGTTTCTTTGGTGCTGCAGCGGCACACAACTGGCAAGGCTTAATCAAAAGACTGGAAAACCACAGTCTGTAATAGCATAAGGCTTCCATTATGAAAGAAAACTACAAAAATAATACTTCTTTTTCTGCCCATCTTTGGTATGTATTGGCTAATAAAATCAGTTCTGTGGAACTGGGATTTTGAAGCCTCAGCAATTCATTCTTCTTGCATACATTCTAGGCAGTACAGTTTTGGTGATGAACATGTGTACTGTGCATAATATAATCCAATTCTGCTGAACATGCTCTGAAATTTATCACTGCTTTAGAGGGTGGGCAGAATAGGAGACAGATCATATTTCACAATATTAAACGTGGCTGCTTTTCTAAAAAACATACAGAAGCAAATGTAACCATTAGGGAAAGTTTCATGAGATCCCAACATGGTAGAGATCAAATGATCTTTTGTAGCATTTTGTACACCTGGTCTGAATAGGCAGCTAAAATGTCTATTCTTTTGGCAGACAGAATTGGGAAGATAAGAAAGAAGAGGGGTGTTAAGAAAGAGAAAGCAAAGGAGAAAGCAGAGTTTTGTCACATAAGGGGTGTAGAAGTCAGAACAACCAGATTTACTGAAAATCTCAAAACCCTGGGGCATTTTAGAATAATACTTTGTTTTCACTCTAGGATTGAAACAGATTCTGGAGGATTCATCAGGGTTAGTTCAGATTCCTTAAACTCACCTTCACTAAACAGGAAAGGAATTTCTTTAGGGCTCTTTTAATTGACTATAATGCCCATGTCATATGTAGCAGCAGTCTCTGTATGGGAAAAAAAAAAAAAAAAAGCTTAGATCCGAACTGTTAGGTCTATTTGGATCTATCTAATATGTTATTGTGAAGTTACTTCTGGATACCAGAAGAGCTTTTGTTTTTTATTAAAAACGTAGACAAGTATGCTATTATTTTAATTTAAAGGATAGACCAGTATGCCACTTTTTTTTTTTTTTTTTTTTTTTTAGACAGGGTCTCGCTCTGTCACCCAGGCTGAAGTGCAGTGGTGTTATCATGGTTCACTACGGCCTCAACCTCGTGGGCTCAAGGGATCCTCCCACCTCAGCCTCCTGTGTAGCTGAGATAGCTGGGACTACAGGTGCGTGCCACCATACCCCACTCATTTTTGTATCTTTTGTACATATAGGGTCTCCCTATGTTGCTCAGGGTGGTCTCAAACTCCTGGCTGCAAGCAGTTTTCAGGCCTCTTAAAGTGCTGAGATTACAGGTGTGAGCCACTGCGCCCATCAAGCCACTCTTGAAACTGGCTCCCAACACTTTTCCCTGTAAGCTCCAAAAGCTCCATCGGAATTCACTGACTTTTACTATTATATAAGGAAAGTAAATAGTTGTCATAGTAAGAGAAATGAAATAAAAAATGAACTGAGATGCAAAGATAACCACTTAAAAGATAATTTTTCTAACAGGTATTACTATTAAAATGATGAGTAATAAACTTTCTTAGTATAGTTCTCAATGGTGAAGAAGATTTTCATTACCGTGAGCTAACCTGTTCTTTGGAACAAGCCCCTCTATAACAGAAATGAGGCATATTAGTGCTGTTTATTTTGTGATTTTTCTATCTTAACTTCTTATTTTCTGAGATATAAACCAAAATCATTCACCAAAATGATTCATTTTTGAAATAATTTAATTTGTGGAAGTGATATGCATATTAGTACATACTGAAATGCTGTAATTCTAGTAGAGCATTCTCTTCATTGTCTGTTCTTTCACCACAATCCTAGCTACACTGCAACCTGCTGTTTAGCTTACGTCTTTCACATTCCACACTAATTGAATGTGTTTTAAGAAACATATATTAGTTATAGTGAAGTCACCAGGATGATGCATGCAGTTTTTAATTCATATTACTTTGTGCATTTTTAAGACATTAGCAAATCAAAAACCATTTATTCATTTTTAATTTACAGGGTATTTGAGCAAGAAGCTATTAAGGAACTGCTTTTTTCATCTCTCTTTTGCAATTCAAACTTGGTATTTCTTAGACAAGTTTTTTATTACCTGTTTTGCACATCTGAAACTGTATAGATTTGTTTTTAAGCATAGAATATAACTTATCTTTTATTTTATTTTAAAGGTTTCAAATTTATATTCAAAACTGTCACTAAAAACAGCCATCAACTTAACATTTTCAAATACATTCTAAAGCCAATTTCCAAAATCTCTGTTCTTTATTCATGAGTATCTGAATTTTCAGAAACCTTGCTATCATATAATAATCTATAGATCATCTCCCTGTGCCTTAAAACACTGTTCTAGGCCCATGGCCTTCCCTTTTCTCAGTATTATGTATATTTAGAATTAATTATATGATATCTCAAGATACTACATGAGATATCTTGAAAAGTCTCATAGAAAGTAGTGAATTACCAATCAGAAACTAACTAAATCTTTTAAACCTATTACAACTATGTTTCTAATAAAGATATAAGAAGTCAGCCAACTGGCCACATATTATCTCTTATTCTTGTCAGGTAGAAGGGTAACAACCAAAGTATAATATCTGGAATTGTATCTAGTATATCTTTTCTTAATGTTTCAGCATTTTCCAGCTAAAAGGTTGCTATAATCCAGTGAACCTTTCTATTAAATAGGTATTTCTTAGCTTCCTGCCAGGTTTAACTACTTGGCTATGGGTTATTATTCCACGTACACTACAGCATCTCTGAGATTAATGAATAATGTGTGTGACTGTAGCAGAGCTGAGCTTGGGTTGCAGAAGAGTTTAGCGTCCAGACAAATATATGCTTCAGTTGAACATGAAAGCTTTTATCAAACTTCAAGCCCTTAAAAATTCCCCTTCATAAATAAATATTTATCATAGAATAAGTATGTAACACATCAGCTACAATTTAGTAATGAAAATATTGAGTTTAAATATTTATGAGTGAATTTCAAATCCCAGTTCCTAAGGTGATTTGAGTCAAATGTTTTCATCATAGTTACAATATTATATTTGATCAGTTCTGAGATGCACCTATTTTCACTTTTTTTTTTGAGACAAGGTCTCACTCTGTCGCCCTGGCTGGAGTGCAGTTCACATTTAAACATATCCAGAATTGGATGGCTTTTATAAACAATGACATATTGTAGTTCAATTGCCAGCATTTTTTTCTTAGTGATACATAAACTTATGTTTCTTACAATTAGTTATATCTTAGCTTCAATGAAATAACAACAGTTACACCGTTTTTTGGGTTTTTTCGTATTTTTGAGTCAGGGTCTCACTCTTGTCATCCAGGCTGGAGTGCAGTGGCACCATTATAGCTCACTGCAGCCTTGACTTCCCTGGCTCAAGCAGTCCTCCCACCGCAGCCTCCCAAGTAGCTGGGACCACAGGTGCATACCACGAGGCTCAACTAATTTCTTTTTTTCTTTTGTAGAGACAGTCTCCCTATATTGCCCAGGCTGATCTAGAACTCCTGGTCTTAGATGATCTGCCTGGCTCGACCTCCCAAAGTGCTGGGATTACAGGCAAGAGCTACCATGCTTGGGCACATGATCTTACTTATTCAAAATCAGGGTGATTATCCAAGCCTTTCCTATCAAGTCCAAAAGTTTCTCAGAACTATGTTATCAGGATAAGCAAAAGCAAAAACAAAACCAGCCATATGCAAAGGTGCATTATCAGGCCTCTTGGTGGATTTTGTATATACACATTGAGCTTTCGTTTTATGCCATAAAGACCTTAATGTTGGCCAGGCTCGGTGGCTCATGCCTATAATTCCAGCACTTTGGGAGGCTGAGGCAGGTGGATCACCTGAGATCGGGAGCTTGAGGCCAGCCTGACCAACATATAGTGAAACCCCATCTCTACCAGAAAATACAAAAACTAGCTGGGCGTGATGGCGCATGCCTGTAGTCCCAGCTACTTGGGAAGCTAAGGCAGGAGAATCACTTGAACTCGGGAGGCGGAGGTCACAATGAGCCAAGATCGCGCCACTGCACTCCAGCCTGGATAACAGAGTAAGACTCCGTCTCTTAAAAAAAAAAAAAAAAAAAAAAACTTAATACCGTCTTTCATAATCATGTGATTTGAAAAGTTGTTACTATTATTGGAACTTTACCTTGAGTATCTTTAATTACTTTAGTAATCATTCACAGTTTCTTCACCAGAGAGATGTTGGATTAAAGTATAGTGATTATCAGACTCAAGAAAAAATATGCTTCCTTCTTATGCTTGTCAGCCGGTGTTTATTATGTACCAAGTATGGTCAGTTTTCAAATATGCATTAATTGGTGTTACTCTAGAGGACTGAACAGGTAAAGCTATTTAACCTAATCTTTATTCACTTGTCCTTGAAATATTCCTGTCATGATTTTCGTATGGATCACTTCACATGAATCACGTATAGTTATTGGGAATTCACGGCTTATTTCTTAGTCCAGGGAGACTATTCCTTATCCAAAATGCTTGATTTCTGAGTTTTTTGGTGTTTTTATTTTTTAATTTTGAAATGTTTGCGTTATATACATACCAGTTGAACATCCCTAATCCAAAAGACCAAAATCCAAAATGCTTCAATGAGAATTTCCTTTGACATGTAGTTTTGGGTTTGAGAGCATTTATGATTTCGATTTTGAGATTGGGGATACATGACCTATATTTTGCTTTTATACTTGAATTCTTCAAGATTTTCTTTCGTGTGTTTTGTTGTATCACTTTTTGTTAGCACAATTATAAAACAAGTGTAATTATTTCACATTTTTCACTGGTAATTATTTCACATTTTTCACTGTCTTATGGGATGTATGTACTGGAATCACTTCTGGGGACACTGTTCCTTCCTTTGTATTCCTGGTCCTAAAAACCAGGTCAGAGTGTTCACAAGTTACAGACCGGTTTCTATGCATGACAGAATCTTTTGCTGATTTTATTCCTAAACAATAGAACACCGAAGTTAAAAACCAGGTGAGAAAACCAGGGGAGGAGCTACCCGACAGCATGCACTTGTCTCATGGTGGAGCTCTAGGCAATTAGGGTGGGTTTCTCTCAGAGGTGGGAAAGTCACCATTTGAACCTAATGCTGCTGGATGCAGTGGCTGAACATGTGGGACTGTGAGGGCATTAAGGAGTCGACAGGTGACTTCCAATGGACTATGCTAAGCAGCAGCCACAAAT